CGAGGATGGGGAGAGCGGCTCCGGGGGCTGCAGAGGCGGCGGCTCTTGCAGGCGCAGCCCCGGGATGGAGGCGCCGCCGCATCCCGCGAGCAGCATCCCGCGAGCAGCATCCTGCGAGCAGCATCCCGCGAGCCCTGCCACCCCCAAGGCTGTGCTCATGGCCCCGGTTCCCAGAGTTGCTTTGGGGTTTTGCAGAAATCCCTGTGATTCAGCGTTTCGGGGTCCCGCTGGGTTTCAGTTATTGGCTGGATTTGAACTAAAGTTGGATCTGTCAAATGCTGCTTGCAGGAACTGGAGGTAGCGAAATCCTGGACAACTCTTCGCAAGGGTTCCCTTGCAAAGAGGGAAGGAGCTGAGAGAGCCTCAGGGAGAAAGGTTTGCGGCCACACGTTTTCCAGCACTGCCAGTATGACATCGGCACCAAATTCCCCCACACTTTTCCCAGTGTGCTCGACGTGGCCGCTGAGCCCATGCTGGCTTCGACGTGAGCGCCGGCTTCACCCCAGGGCGCTTTGTGGGACACCCGTCCCCGTGATTGGTGCCCATGCCGGGGTGCAGCCTCTGGGGATCGGCTCACTCGGCTTGACGGGGGCAGGAGGACTCAGGCCCCCAGGTCCTCAGCAAGTGCATGAGCCATTAGGCTGCTCCACAGCAGAGCTGGCCTGGGGCTGAGCTTAGTGGCTGGATTTGTGAAGTCTGGAGAGGAGGATCCTGCCCTGCAGGGCCACTCCGGGCTTCTGTTTCATGCTTTGAAAGCAAACGTTGGTCTTGCTGCCCCCCAGACAGGGTATTACGGGACCATCTCCGTCGGCGCTCCACCGCTCCGTGGTGTTCGACACCGGCTCCTCCAACCTCTGGGTCCCTTCGGTCTACTGCAGCAGGCCCGCTTGCCGTAGGCAGCCGCACGCAGGGCCCCCGGGGCTGGCCACGCTGGTGGTCTGGCAGCATCGTCCTTGAAATTGCATTTAAGGGCCTGGCATGATCAAGCCCGAAGCTCACAGTGATGCCCCCCAGGGGCACGGAGGTCCCTAACCAGTGTAACAGCCAGACCCAGCAGCCTGTGCAACGTGTTCGGGGTCTCAGTTTCCCTGTGCACCCAAGGGGGTGATGGCCTTTCTGGAGCATCCCTGGTATTAAGGCGCTGCGGTAGGAGCAGAAACATATTGCAAACTCTCGCAGCTAAATCGTTGCTGAAAGCAGGCTAATAAATGGCAAGTCTAAAGAGCAATTTAGCAGGGCGCTTACTCCCACGCTTTCTGTGCGTTTCAGCCTTGCTTAAATGCTCCTAACTCCTGTTTTTCCCCACTTATCTTGCAGAAAAACACCAGAAGTTTAACTTGTCGCAGTCTTCCACCTACCAGAGCACAAGCCAGAGCCTATCCATCCTGTACGGCACCAGCAGCATGGAGGGTGTTGTGGGCTCCGACACCGTCACCGTAAGTCACCCGTGGCCCTCGCACCTCACAAGGGCTGGACTCTCATGGTGGCACTGCCAGATGGGACTTGCCGTGTCTGCTCCCCTCTATC